CTCTTTCCCCATCCCCAGGAATGGGTTTGCAAATGGAAAAGGAATTCTTGCTATGGAAACTAAACTGTGCTGCAGGTTTTTAAGCTAAATTATATTGGTGGAGAGCAATTACAATAATAATGGCACGACACTCTGTGTTTATTCTATGGGAAAGAAATAAGAAAGAGGCCCCGACGCCGTATATGAAATCCAACACAAAAGGAATGGATGTAACAAAGCAGTATCCATAGCAACAACAACTTAATATTTCAGTCCTCTTCAGCTGCAGTGGATTAAATATAATGACAAGATGTTCCCTTTGAAAAGTAACCTGTTGCCATGGCAACGTTGTATTCTGCAAAGTAAACAGGGGCTGGTCAGAAAGGAGATGGAAGCTGGCGATGGAATATCAAAAAGGCAAGAAGCTGCTGTAGCAGCGCGGGGCAGGACAAGCACACACTAATCCGAGAGGGGCTGGCTCCAAACAGCTCCCAGAGAAGAGAGAGGATGTTCAGTTCAATCAAGCTTTGTCCTTTCCATTCAAAAGCAACAGGGGAGGTTGGAGGTTCAAGGCCAAAAGTAGCAACAGTGAGAGGAAACAGTTCAGAGGTGAGGATGAGAAAGGAATAGGAGACAGCACAGGGTGGTGCGGAGCTTTAATTTATCAGCCTCAGAAGGGAAGAGAGGAAGGAAGGCTGGCAACAGTTCTGCATGATTTCTAATACAGAAGCAAGTTTAACCCTCCCTCTTTATAGAACAGACTGGTTTGGATTGGAAGAGACCTTTGAGATCATCCAGTTCCAACCTGCAACAGCCAGGGACACCTTCCACTAGAGCAGGTTGCTCCAAGCCCCGTCCAACCCAGCCTCGAACACTGTCGGGGATAATTCCCTTTAGAGCTCTCCAAAAAGGGTTTTCAAAACCAACTTGCTAAAAGCCACTGCTCACTGCAACACCTGCCTATCACCAACCCAAACCTCAGAATGCAAAGGGAGTTGCAACAATCAAACTAGAAACACCACCAGTGTAAGGAGCTCTCACTATCCTGGAATGCAGCCTGCAGGAAGGGACAGGGCTACCTGAAGTTGAGACCAGAAGGGTACCAGCATAGTGATCACTGTGCATTCAGCCATCAAGGGTGAGCACAGATTGTGTGCAAAATGAGTTGGAATAGGTCAATTTCTTACATGATGAGAGGTTAAAATAGGAAAGACACAGCTTAAAGCTAGGATATACAGACGGGGGTGGTTTGCTGGTTTTAATACGCAACCTTACGAAATTTGGGGTTATTTACAAAGCCTGGTAAGAAAATCAATGGCTTAATAAATAAAACCAAACCCAGATATACGCATTATAGGCAGAAGAGATCATAAATTGCAATTGTACACTGATGTAACCAGTCACTAGCATTGGCAAGATAATCAGTTACATAAACTGAAAGCATGGTACGGTAAGGCAATTCCTGGAGATTTGAGATTTCTGTAAAATTAATATGAATCTGAAGTAGTTTGGAAAAAGAAAGTTTCAAGAAAAGGGTTTTTTAAACAAAATTCCTTTTATGCAAATGGTCCAGTACAGAAGATGAGGAAAAGAAAAAAAAAAAAAGCAGTTCTGCAAACATCTGGCAAAGATCATTTTGTTCCATCTCCAGGGGGACAAAACAGGAGAGAACAGAATTGCTGCACTCTAACTTCAGCTGGTTAAAAAATAGTTTATCAGGGCCTGAAAGGGACTGGCATTCCATGCCAGAGATCCATGTGGCAGGACATTCTGTTTCATTTTAATCTGTGCCTCCAATTCAGACCTTCCCTCCCCACCCTCCTCCTGGCTTCCCAGGCTCTGCCTGCAAAGATTTAACTGTAAAAAAAGAGCTTTACATACATTTGCTCCTCAGCAGCACTAAAGAAGTCATAAGATTTCACCACAGTGATGCAAAATAGACTGCCCACAAACACAATAAGCCTCTGCCATACATCACAGCTCCGGTCTAGCTTCCTTTAAGCATCTGCTGATGGGCACTGCTGGGAGACAGGATGCTGAGCCAAATGGATCCTCCATTTGACCCACCACCACCATTCTTATGCATGTTAAGTTCTTACACTACACAGTTCAAAAGACAATAGGGACAATCAGGTTCAGGCAATTCAATCGTTAACCAAAAACCCCCCAACTAACACAAATCTGTGAGTTAGGTGCCCGAGAAGAACCGAATTGGCTCCCAACCCCCAAAATAAACAATTCTTGCTTCAAGACAACTACATTACATTGCTTTCTTTCCATTACATGGGCACTGACACCAATTTACAGATTTAAAAATGCCTTCTTAGCTTTTCCCAACAATTATTTTCTACATTAAAAAGGTTTTACTTTAAGTTACCCAATTTCGTGTGTCCAGCTTACACTTGGGGCCTTAAACCTCTTTCTTTAAGGTTTTAAAATCCATTTCTAGAAGTAGTATCCTAATGCTCAGAAAATATTCTTGCTAATGGTCAGCCTCCAGGAAATCAAAGTTTTGTTTAAACTATGTTGTAACTGTGTTATAATAAAGATATTCACGTGCAATTTTGTGTTCCAAGTGAAAAGCCAAGCCTGAATTTCAGGCAAATGGACTTCTATGGGAATGTTCTGAGCGATTGCTCAATCTGCACTGGGAATGGATAAACACCTACCAACATTTGTATCACTGGGACAAGCTCAAACCTGCTGAGTGATTGCAGAGTCAGAACTTTAAGGAAGTGGAGGACTGTGTTCTGCACCCATGCTGCTGTTTGGGGAAGGAAGTCATTGCAGAAGTGTGAGTCAAACAGGGAGAGCTTTTACAAGAGACTGTTATTTTTCGTCAGGTTGATACATGAGGAAAAAAAGATTATACAGTCCTTGGAAGTACTGTC